GAAGGTTTACGTTCCAACAAGACAATGACCCTAAGCACACAGCTAAAATAATGAAGGAGTGGCTTCACAACAACTCTGTGACTGTTCTTGAATGGCCCAGCCAGAGCCCTGACTTAAACCCAATTGAGCATCTGTGGAGAGACCTAAAAATGGCTGTCCACCAACGTTTACCATCCAACCTGACAGAACTGGAGAGGATCTGCAAGGAGGAATGGCAGAGGATCCCCAAATCCAGGTGTGAAAAACTTGTTGCATCTTTCCCAAAAAGACTCATGGCTGTATTAGATCAAAAGGGTGCTTCTACTAAATACTGAGCAAAGGGTCTGAATACTTAGGACCATGTGATATTTCAGTTTTTCTTTTTTAATAAATCTGCAAAACTTTCAACAATTCTGTGTTTTTCTGTCAATATGGGGTGCTGTGTGTACATTAATGAGGAAAACAAATTAACAAATGATTTTAGCAAATGGCTGCAATATAACAGAGTGAAAAATTTAAGGGGGTCTGAATACTTTCTGTATCCAGACACAACTAATGCTACAACATATCAATATATTCTCTTAATGAGAATGAGATGTTTGTGCTTTTCATTTCCCTCCAAAAAATGACGTCATTAGCTGGAAGATGCTTATTTATGTATAAGGACTAAACAGTTTTAATTTACAGTGTGTCTGTCATTCGACTTGGGCTTTAATTACCTCATTAACTCTTCGTCCAGCAGCAACCTCAGCTTTCTTAGAGGTTTCCATCAAGGGCTTAGCTTTAAAGAGAGTTCAGCTACAGACATATGTTGTGTTTTGCTACACTGATTTTCTGTTACACTTACTTTAAACCACTGTTCACTTGATGACGCTTCTGTTAAATAACATAAGAGATACGTTTTTTAGTGAAGATCCAAAGGGCAGTTTTATGATTAAAACTGATTTAAGCGATGTCATATGTGACTATCAAACATGTAGCACAAAGAATAGTACAATGTCTTTAAAATGTTCTAATTCCATATTTGATCTACCAAAGGAAATTGTTTAATGTCACTTCTCTTTATTTTATATATATATATATTGCCCCCCAAAGCAAACAGAAACTGTGATCAGCAAGGAGTTATCTTAACAGCGCTGAAATAACCATACATTGGAAATTATAGATTGATAAGAGCCCCATGAGGAAGTCACATTTTATTGAAATATTGCTACAGTTAAGATGACAGTCACCAATTTCCTTGTCCTACGTTTATTTGTTGAAAGAAAATATATTATACATATATTATACATATGCATATACAAGGCAAAATATATACATTTTATTTCCCAGTCCAAAAATGTCTTTCTTTTTTTCTTCAACGTATACTTTAATGAAGCAGGTTGATTTATTATAATCTTGAGACATTTGTGACGCTGAATTTTAAAACACTATTCTCAGTAAATCAATGATTTAGTAATATACATAAGTTAATATTCACCACAAAATTTGTAATGCATAGACTATACAAGCATCTTCAAGTGATCTCTTTAAAATGTCTACATTATGGGTAAAAAGATCATAAACCTAACATTCTCAAACTGTGTTGAGACCGGAGAGAAACTCCTCCCTGGTGTATTTTCTGGTTTTGAGAATCCATTCTTTTTGGAAGCCATTTTCGACAGGACCATTTGAAGAGAGACAGGACACAGGCCTGAGACTGTTGTGTAAATGTGCATAAAGTGCTGCTGTGTGTCCCACAGGGCTATTCCTCCAGCTACAGTACATCTTCACAGGACTCTAAAAGATATATAATAATGAAAAAAAATAACAATAAATATACCATCTATACTTTAACTTTTTTCATCATGAAGGATCACATGTTAATTCCGACAAGTGTTTACAATTTTCCACTATTTAGAGCTGTATTACCTAGTATTTGGGAGTTTATATATATATATATATATATTTTTTTTTTATATTACCTATTTTACATTTTGTTAAGAAAAGAGAATAAAGAGTCATACTGTACCTCGACCACCAGGCACCTGGAGCACGATTATCAGCACAGACAGATGTTCAATGTCGCACGATTCAAACGTTTGACTGTCTTCAAGCTCATTTGGACCAAAAATCACCCTCAGTCTGTCTGGATCTGACAAGGAGATAAAACGGAAAATCAGAGAGAATACATTATTACAAAAATATTTTATATATTTGATTTTTTGTTCTGTTCCAGTGTCAATAGTTGAGACGAGTGTAAATAAATCCAAACCTACCGTTTACTGAAGGAAAGAAACTTAATGCTCGTGTCTTCAGATCTCCAATGGTGAACTTCTCAAATTCTTCACTTGAGGACGCCACTGATAATACTTTAACCTCATTTTTATTAACCCTGACGCGCACCTGAAAGGCCATTCTGCTGCTGCTCGAGGAACAATCTTCTGACTGAGACGACGAGTGATCAAACAAGAAAATATAAACACTTAATGAACTACTTTCTCTTTCGCTTCTAACAGTATACTGGCAAGGGCGTTGACTTTAGCGTTCTCTTAAACAGAATAAATAAAAACCTGACGGAAACCGAAATTATACATGTTACACGTTTTAAAAACAATCTAAAACACATCATTGGTCGATAGCGGGTTAATTGGGCAGTCCGTTTGCCGAGGGACACACTATGTTTTTACCATTATCTGTGCTATTTGTTTGAAAGAAGAATGCTCAGGGTTTCCTTTTTTAAAAATATGCAAATGACTAAATGGCATTATCCTCTTTCAAAGATGCGTCTACTTAATTGTAAAGGCTAAATTCCCAAACAGTCACGAGTTCGAAATACAACATTAAATTGGGAGGTGACTAACTTTAAATGAATCATTTAACTTAATATACCAGTCGTTTAAGCAAATGTGCTCTAGAACGTTTGCCCGAAGTAATTCTAGCCTATCGCATTTTTCCCATTGTACCAACCGTTGTCAATTTTTATTTACTGTTAATAAAAATACTGTTAAATTATATATACTATGCATTTGAGGATAGTTAGACATGACGGAATACTGTATCAAATAAAAAAAGCAAACAAATGAAATGAATAATTAATATAAAACCGAGATTTTGGTTGTAATTCTGTGGTTGTCCAGCAGGTAACATCACTTTATAATGCACTTCAGTTACTCCAGAGCACTGGCGATTATGGACAAGCATGTGACAATGCTGTGTGACATCTTACACTTTTATTTGCGAAATTATTAAAATACACACACACAAAAAAGTATGACATGTAATCAATATTTGCTTTCTAGAATTAATGCATTAATTTCAGTGATGTGAAGTCCAAGTATTGGTAACCCATAATCAGAATCTGTCCTCTGCAGTTAATCCATCCAAATTAGTGAAAACACACACACACACACACACTCTCACACACACACACACACTCACACACACACTCACTCACTCAC